GATATTTAGGCTCCTACATTCCCTTAAAATCCACAGGAGTGAGGAGCCTAAATACCTCCGAGAATCTGGGCGTGTCTCTGGGCATCATTTCCCTGTTTGTAAGCTATGGTAATACTACTTTCCTTATTCCGTCTCTTATAGCAGTCTCATCTATGGAGCGTGTAAGCTTGTGAGGGTAAGAGGGACTCCCTCTTACTACAAGTCTGTTCTATGGGTCTCTAGGCAAGATAGTAACACAAATAATAGCAGTGCCCTGCTGCAGCTGGAGGGTGGTTCTAATCATCTATCCCTTTTCATCCAGTGCAGCCACCCCCTTTCCTCCTCTCCACCCCGCCAGGCATAATTTAATGACACATTACCTGGGGGATTGGTGTTTAAATGATCAGAGCTGATCTTGCTCATCTTTCAAATCCTTTCTATTGATAATGTCTTCATCATTATGCAAGGCCTTGTTTATGCATTTTAATTTTCATAATTATGATCTGGCAAGGAGCGATAGTTAAACTCCACAATTAATTAACAATTTAGACCATGGGAGAAAGAAAGAAGGAAAAACCCTCCACAATTGCTGAAAAAAAAAATTTCAAAGGGGCCATGCATTCTAGCATCTCATTAGAAGGAAAAAAATTCACAATTTCAAATGGCTTGCAGAAGAAGGGGAGGAGACTCAAGATTTTGTACTGCAGTTCTTTGTGCTGGCGCCTAGTATTGGGAAATGGCCAAAAGGTACCAGGGGCCTGACTGAACCTCACACTGGTGTAAGTCAGAATTAACTCCACTGAAACCAAAGGACTTTCCTGAGAGCTGCATCAGACCCCGTTTCCAAAACTAGTCCATTAACTGTACCTGTTGTTGAACATAGAGCTTTGATGACCATGTAGCATCTACATCCCAAGCTGGCTGTTAATCGCGTGGACTGTCACCACATATTAATTTAATTCAGGGTGCTTTGATTTTACAAGATTCTGGTGACAATTCTACCCAGAATTCTACCCTGGGACTGAAATATTCACAATCCCCTGCTTTAGGACTATGCCCAGGAGGAGAGTGCCAAGTTCTGCCCTGTTTATTTACTGTCAGTTTGGAACAACAGCATAGTCTTTAATAGAATTATCAAAGATTCACATAATTGTAACAGAGCAAAATCTGGCCCTGAGGATTTATATTCTGATGTGCTATATATCATTTAGGTATCCTGCAGAAGAAGGCTGCAGCATCCTTTGAACCCATGAGCTTTCCATGGTCCTGAAACACAAGAGGCCTCTCAGACTGGGTCACCCGACAGCAAAATGCTAAGCAGCATTAATCCTCCCGGGAACAATGCATTCTAAAGTTCTGAGGAAAGAAATGGCTTTTCTACTTACAAGCTTTCACAGCACTCCTCTTTAGTTCCCCAAAGAGAAGCATAGAGATGGCTGGGTTAAGGCACTATAGTTGACTTGTGATGCACTTTTGGCTCTCTCGGGTACTGCTGGGTAGAATCAATCACTAAGGTGCCTTTGATTTTGAAATTAGACACATTAGAAGTGAGCCATTCACACAAATTTCTGTAAATAAATCCTCCTCTCCAATATTTTATCTCCTCCTGCTATGTTTACAGAGTGCTAGCAATCAACAGCTCTCCTCCATTTGCAGGGCGCTTCTCACAGATTTGGGACTTTTCCCTCACCGTACTAAGCTTATCCAGAGGATGATTAATGAATTCAGCTGAGCACCACTTGGATTTCAATGGGCCAAATCTCCTGTCAGTGCCTGGCAACTTCACTGATGCTATGCTTATTTGCACCCATGTGGATCCCGCTCACTGACTTCAGTGGAGATAAGATGCTTAAACACCAGCTGACATGTGGTCTCCATAAATTTAGGTGACCACTATGGACTGCAAACCACCCACATTACTACACAAAGTTGGGGGGTGTCTAGATTCCAAGGGTTTGCCTTCACTGCAGCACTAACTTAAGTGTTGGTAAGAGCAGCCAGCTGCTCTTGAGTTAGTCTAGCTCAAGCGAGAGCATCCACACCGATGTTTGGATTAACAGCACAGTATCTATATCCCCACTGCATTACTAGTGTGAGCATCAACAGCTCTCAAGTGTCAACCCACACCTCCAGTAGCTTGAGGTTAAAGCACCACTCAACTTGAGCTAGAGACTCGTGTGTGGACAGGAGTAAGATTAAGGGAGCACTTGAATCATACCTTGAGCTAAAGCTGCAGTGAAGGCAAGGCCTAAGAGCATACGCTAGTCTCACCACACAGTCACCACATAAAATGGTGGCTCGGGATCTGCAAGGGCAGAGTTCAAACAGGGTGTGCCACAGGTGAGGACTGAAGTGCGCTGGTAAATTAGCGGAGGTAGGGAGAAGTAGGGCTAGAATAGGAGAAAATGTGCAGGTAATGACAGCTTTAGCTGATCTGTGGGGTGCTCAAGAGCTAGTCTAGCAGGGGCTAAAGAGCATCAGCAAAACTGGGGAGCAGGGCTTAGGCCTAGAAAATAAGTGGGTATTGCAGGTCAGGACTGAGGTGGTGAGGGAAGCCCACCACACTGGTGTTATTAGCCTTTCGGTTCCAATGCTTCAAAAAAATATTCCCACCAAACACCATTACCGCTGAGTTAAACCAGGGAGAATCCTTGCCTCCAGTTTGTCTAAACGATTGGGGGGGGGGGGACACCCCTCGAGGTGCTTTAGCCACAGTCAATCACATCTATTTTCCTGTGCTATAAACTCTCAAGGAAAACACATCTCTTAGAAAAGTCTGATTCAACTCACACTGGTTTAACTTTTCAATAAAGTTGCTCCCAATTTACACCAGCGTAAGAGCAGAATCAGGCCCTAGTGTATTGAGAACACTGTCAAGGTACCGGATTCTCTTAGCAAGACCCAAGCCCCCAAACTGTTCACCTGGCCCCATCCCCGAATCCGCACATACATTTCCCCTCCTGTTCCAGTCTCTGGCCTATTTTTCATCACACTTGGCCAGCGTGCTAGGACTCATTACTGATACTCCTGCTTCAAGCCTTATTCACAGGACACTGCTAGAAAGGAATTCCCCTGCTCCCGGAGCGGGAGACTCTTCCACTAACTTCATCTTGGGGTTTAACAAACATATCTATGGAAGAGAACGAACAGCCCCTCTCAAAGCAGCGCTGGCCCCGTCCCCGGCTGAAGGCAGCCGCCGAGCCCAGCACAGCACCTTGGGCGCTGCTGTTCTATTAAGCAGAGTGTCATTCAACAGGAGAGAAAGCGACAGCTCTAGATGATGGCTGTGTACAGTGTTTGACACAACTGGCACAGCTGGTGAATTACTACAGAGTAACTGCCCCCCTTTCTCCCCCTCCCAGCTAGTTCATGGTGTGCCCCGATCCATCTCTGCTCCATCCATGAAGTTCTGTGTTGCATCTGTTAAGTCAATCAGAGTTTTGCCCTGGACATCACTGAGGGCAGGATTGGCCCACAGTAGCAGAGGGAGGACGAGCGATGTGGGAATTGCTCCCACCCCCTCTTCAACATGTGGCCCAGCTATGGCTAGGCACCTCTCCCTTCTCTTCTATCCTCCTCCCACAAGACAAGCTCTGCTACCCAAAAGCAACTGCCCTACAGCCCAGCCTCATCGGTGTGCCCCTTCTCCCCATTTGGTATCCCCCCAACCTGCCTGCAATCAGATTGGAGACAAAATCCCTGCCAAACCAACGGGGAGGTACCATCCCCTTGCTGACCCACTCCCAAGTCTTTTCACCTAGCAGAGCTACCTGCCCCACCTGTTTGCCTGGCTGGTCCAAGAAGGTGGGCAGTCGAGTGATTGGGGCACTAACCTAGGAGTTGGGCAACCTATGTTCAGTTCTCAGCTCTGCCACAGACTCCCTGTATGGCCTTGAGCAAGGCACTTAGCCTCCTTTGTGTCTCAGTTCCCCATCTGAACAATGGGAATAATCACACTCCCATACCTCTGAGAGGTGTTTGGAGGATAACTTCAGTAAAAGATTGTGAAGTGCTCAGATACAATGGTGGTGAGCACATAAATTCTTTAGACAGATGAAATTTCAGCAGCAATAATTCTCAAAAGCTGTCCCACGTGAGAAAATATAACCCGACCCTCCCTTCCATCCCCCAAAACTCCATTTCCTTTGGCCAAGTCAAAAGGCCGGTATCCTGGTTTGCAAAATCCACGTCCAACGCTTTTGTGTTACTTGGACCATCAGAAAGCACCGTGATGGGTTTGTTTTGATTCAGACCTAACTTTTATAATTCCTCACCCATAAGACACAAACAAACAATGCCCCTTGGAGGCTGGAAGTGCATAAAGCGTGACTCCTCAAATCAGTTTTAAAGAAAGCACACAAGCATTAGAGAAGAGTTTGCATGTTAATGGACAGTCCACACGCACCCATCCATCCACCCACAAAAAAAAAAAAAAAAAAAGACACTTACAGCAAGGAGTTTATGCAAATCAATAGTAATGGAATCATAAAAACTTTGTAGTTGTTGAGGCGGGGGGAGGAGATCAGTAAGTAAAAATGCATAAATTCAGGGCGGGAGGGGAACTTGGAAGGTCTGACTTTGGACAAGAGTCTGCTCTTGGTTACCCGTGTGAATCCGGAGCAACCGCATTATCATTGGATTCAAACCAGTGTTACTGACAGCCAAAGCTGGCTTTTAATTTGTATGCATCAATTCCCCAGTGGATGCAAATATCACCAAGAAAAGTATTAAAAACCTGTAACTAATAGCCAACTGATATTAGCATAACAAATGAATTAGCAGGCAAGGTACAGTATGCAAGAGCCACACACCAGCTCCCATCAAGATGACTTAAAGGCTAACTTGCTTTGATTCTTGACATTTTAATCTGGGATTGATTCCCCTGGAAGACTGTGAGTGCTAGGAAATTTGTTTAGATGAATTATTCAGTTTCAGCTCCCTGAAGCTGAACAGCAAGATGGGGTGCAAAGGTAGGGGGTGGGGAGGGAGAATGGTAAATAGAGTAATAAAAAGAACTTTACCTAAAAGGTCTCAAGGTGACAAGACATCTTCTGATCATTATTTTTCCATCCGAATTGACTGTGATCATTGTTCAAACTTATATAAGAAATAAAAAGGAAGCAACTCGACACTTTAGACAGCCATATGCTGCCGTTACACAGTGCCCATGATTAGGATGATTTGTATACAGAGGTGGGGAAAGCACCCCAGACCAATCCAACTTCACCGAGAGGGGTTTTAGCTCTTCTGCTCCAGGTAATCTACTTCTCCTCCAATGGAGCAGCCGTGGCGAACGTTTGTCTGCTCTGGATGAAATAGATCTTAACAGAGCGAGCACGACTGAACCAGGTTCTCTTGCGGGATTTTCTTATTTACATTTTGGAGGCAGGTTGTCGCAAACGGCAGCACTTCTGTCCATCCATCTCTCCCCACAGAAGATGGAGCTGCTGGGAGGCACCTTGACTCCTTCATCACATCCACTTTTTGCTCTCCTTCCTGTTCTCTCCAGATTTCACCTTAATTGGAGTCAAATGCCGGACACTCCTCCCCCCCCACCCCATACACACACACACACAAACCAGCATTCAGTACTTCCAGCTAGTTGCTGTCCTCTGGGAAGGCTTCCCAAGTCAAAAGTCTGCACTGTTCTGGGATTCCAATGGTGTTCCCAACCCTCTGTGTCCACAGATGTGATATCAGAGCCAGCTCCATCCCATCCTGGGAGCTCCCTTGCACAATCCTAGGTATCCAGCCCCTTGCTTTAATCTGAGTAGGCACTGCATTGTTTCCACTAGAGAAGGCTGCACTGCTCCAGCTAGGATTGGAGAAAACCTTCCTGTTAAATTGTGGATTGGGCACCATCTAGTGGTAGCCATGGGATGGCATCAGTTGCCTTCTGTTAAGGAGCGATTATGTTGGTAGGGCTGATCCAGCACCTATGAACTTCTTCGCTCCAGAGATTTCAATGTTTCCTCAGCTGCAGACCTATATTTTGAAATCTCACCCCCTGGCATCTTTTACAAAGATAACCGAGCCCCCATCCCTATCAGTGAACTCCTAAATTTTAATAGCAACAGTAAATCTCACATTAATAGAGTACCCTTTATCCTAAACTGTTTCACAAACTATCATAGAATCATAGAATACCAGGGTTGGAAGGGACCTCAGGGGGTCATCTAGTCCAACCCCCTGCTCAAAGCAGGACCAATCCCCAATTTTTGCCCCAGATCCCTAAATGGCCCCCTCCAGGATTGAACTCACAACCCTGAGTTTAGCAGGCCAATGCTACCTCTAAAATGCAGCCACCTCTGGCGTGAAAGACTGCAGTCGACCCAAAAACCATCAGGGAGCATAACAGATGGCAGGTCAAACCCCTACTCTGATGAAAAGTGCCTGGGGACATTTAAAGCTTGGAGCAAGAAGGGCCTTGGGTCTAATTCTGCCTCCCTCACAACAGTGAGGACAATGGGACTGCTCCTGTTTTTACAGTGCTGTAAGTGAAATCAGAATCCATCTCCTGGTCTATTCAAGTTTCCTCCACAGAGGCCCTCAGCTGCTGATGCACAGGGCTCATTGCATCTGGGGCAATGCAATAGGCCTGCTGATCTTCTGCACTGTTAATAAGAGCATGGCCCTTTGCCGTATAGCAAGAGTAAGATTGATCAGAGAGGGTGCGCAGCCGTACTGGTCACGTCTCACTAACCAGCTATCAAACACATGTAGCAAAAGCACTTGAAAGGGAGTTACTTCAGATTTACACCAGGGTACCTTGGGGCAGAACTTAGCCTGACAAGCACATATGTAACACTGATGGACCCCGGTTGTTGGCAGGCAGGATCAAACGTGGGACCTGTGGAGTTTAGTGCATGAGCCTCTACCGCGTGAGCTAAAAGCCACCTGGCTCTTAGCTAAGGCTGTAGAGCAGACTCATTTTATCTCTCTCTCTCAGTGGTCTTGGTGCCACTAGATGGGACAGAACACCACACCCAGAAGGTGTGTGGGTTACACATACATAGGTTCTCAACCTCCCCACTGAGTGGCAACCACCATTAGTCCTGCCTCAGTGCCGGGGATTGCATTTGATGACCTACTGAGGTTTCTTCCAGTTCTACGTTTCTGTGATGAAAGTCACATTAGCACCGATGTGATAACTAGTCCCATCATTATAGATGAGCCTTTGTAGGACCTTGTCTGGGAAACGGCATGTAAATGGGAAATGCTTTTAGTAAGAACCTCCTACTCTCATGGAAGGGACTAGACCCCCCAGGAAGGGGCTGATAGCAGCACTGACAGCTACAAACAGCCTGAATTTGCTGACCTTCTGAACATACTGTACAGCTCATCTCTTGGGCCAGGCCCTGGCAGGAGGCAGAGGGTGGAATCTCTCTAGTGGGGAAGGATCAGGAGGGGTTTGGAGCCATACTGGTCACAGACCTGGAGATCAGCGGATGTGTGGTATGTTGGGAAGAAATGAAGCAGCTGCTGCTTTGCTCAAAGTTTATTGTGGATAGGGTGACCAGATGTCCTGATTTTTGGGTCTTTTTCTTATATAGGCTCCTATTACCCCCCACCCCGTCCCGATTTTTCAGATTTGCTGTCTGGTCACCCTAATTGTGGATCACCCATGCTCTTGTAAACCAAGGGTGCCCAGAGACTGCGGGGGGAGGGAGAAGGGGGTGTGAGCCCTCTGCCATGGAATTTAAGAGCAGACTCTCAATAATAAAATGCCATTTTACTCCCACTGATGCAGATAAGACTTGCTCTCACTACAGGTAGCAGAGTCCTGCCTGTTCATGCCTGCCCCTCCCTCTCAGATCCAGTAGAAGGAAGGCCCTACTAGGGCTATGGAAGCCCCCTCTCAAGGGAAATTGTTGGATGGGGTGGTAGTCAGAGAAGAGCTTGAATTGGTGGAGGGGTGATTTCCCACACATACACTGGCACCAGCTGTCTACAGCTGTAACACCGACAGATCCCGGTTATCGGCAGGCGGGATCAAACCTGGGATCTCTGGAGCTAAATGCATAAGCCTCTACTCCATGAACTAAAAGCCACATGGCTGTTAGCTAAGGCTGTAGCAGACTCATTAATCTCTAAGTGGTCTCGGTGCCACTAGAGGGGACAGAGCACCATACTTGGGAAATGTGTGGGTTACACCAGCACCCACAGGCTTGGGCCAGCAGTCTCCTGGGTGCCTCTGAGAGCAGCACTGAGTGCTGGGAGCATGAGCACGTGCAGGTACTGGATCAGAGTGGAGCTGGTGGTATGGCTAGGTGAGCAGCACTAACAAAGGCAGCTACGCAACCCCGAGGGAATTCTGCTCCAGTGGTTTATGGGGCCACCCAAAGTCCCCGCTGGAATTATGTCTTTGAATGGTTGCTTTGTGTGTCATTTGGATTGCAGCATAAGGAATCTACAGCCTCATTATGTACAGTTGGATGTAATTTTCATTGGCCTGACAGTACCAGCTCTGCTTCTGCATACCCAACTAGCCCACTAATGAGCATTTCCTGTATGAGTGTGAAGGATCCCAGGAGGTGGAATCAGAGACAAGATTCACTAACTCAAATTAAACAAAGAGGGGCAACTTGTGTCCAATTTACGACGACTCAGGGTGTGAGCCCGGGCACAGCTGGGTGCAGGGTCTGACATATTGAAGAAGCAAGCTCTTTGGGACCTTCTCTTTTGCACCATGTGCCTGTACACCAACTAGTACAATAGCACCTGATCCCACAGTGGTGCCTCTTAGTACAGCTAATAGTAACAACCAGGGGCCGTGAGTTTTCTGTAGTGGATGTGCTTCCTTCTATGAATGCATGTCTCCTTCCTCCTCTTCATCCTACCTTCCCCATTCACCTGCTTTGCTTTTTTCACCTCCCAAAAAAAGTTTGAAAACTATTTCCCTTCCCCAAAATGGCTTTTCAAATGCTTTTCTGGTGCTGCTTTATTAATAGGAGAGTCACTGCAATAAGAACACCACCCACTCTTTTATAAACTAATTGCAGGCTTCCTGCACTTACACAAGTGCCCCACATTTTCCGCATTAGGCGGATCAAGGTAAAATGCCATATTATGACTGTCATGACATTGCAATGCCTATTTCCATGAAGACCCGGGGCATCTATTCTGCTCCTGTTCATGCAGCGTAAAGCAGGAGTAACTCTACTAAAGTCAGAGTACCACAGATATACAGGCACTGTAAGCAGCATTGCAATCAGACAAAGGATAGCTCAGATCAGAGACAATTAAAAGTTTTCCATAGAAACATTCCCCCCCCCCCAATCAATAGTATTTTTCATTATAAAATAACCCCAAAATTAGATGTTTCAGCAAAAACCTGAAAGTGTTTTTGATGGAAATTAACTAGGGCTGGCCATTAATCACAGCTAACTCACATGATTAATTTTTGAGTTAATTACAATAATCGCAGTTTTAAATCCCACTGTTAACAATAGAATCTGAATTGAAATTTATTAAGTATTCTGGATGTTTTTCTAAATTTTAAAATATATTGATTTCTATTACAACACAGAATACAAAGTGTACAGTGCTTACTTTATATTATTTTTATTACAAATATTTGCAGTGTGTGACGGGGCAAGGCCAGATGGCTATAGAAAAGTAGTGGGAGATAGATCTATTAGCTCCAGGCTCAACAAATCCCTGGTACCAGGTTAAGTGAAATGGCAGCTGCTCCAGGTCAATTAAGACACCTGGGGCCAATTAAGAACTTTCCAGAAGGCAGGGAGAAGGCTAGGTTGATTGGGACATCTGAAGCCAATCAGGGGCTGGCTGAAACTAGTTAAAAGCCTCCCAGCCAGTCAGGTGGGTGTGCATGTCAGGAGCTGTGGAAGGAAGTTGTGCTGTTGGAGAGGCTGAGTAGTACACACCATATCAGGCATGAGGAAGGAGGCCCTAAGGTAAGGGTGAAGTGGAGCTTGAGGAAGTGAGGGCTGCTGTGGGGGAAGTAGCCCAGGGAATTGTACATGTCATGTTTCTAAAAGGTCAGCTACCATAGCTGATACTATTAGGGTCCCTGGGCTGGAGCCTGGAGTAGAGGGTGGGCCTGGGCTTCCCCCCCACCCCCCTTAGCCCCCTGATTAATCACTAAGACTGGGAGACAACAGAGACTGTGCAAGGAAGGATAACTTCTCCTCACCTCCCTTGCTGGCTTATGATGAAAATGGCTCAGACTGTGACCCTTGTCTCTAGAGAAAGAAGGGTTATGTGGAGGGTCACAGTGAGCCTTTGAGGCTAGCGAAATCCACCAGGAAATGCAGGACTCACGGAGGCAAGGACAGAGCTTTGTCAAAACTGTAAAAAAATGATAAACTAGTATTTTTCAATTCACCTCATACAAGAACTGTAGTGCAATCTCTTTATTGTGAGAGTGCAACTTAAAAATATAGACTATTTTGTTACATAAGTGCACTCAAAATCAAAACTCTAAAACTTAGAGTCTACAAATGTGCTCAGTCTTATTTCTTGTTCAGCCAATTGCTCAGACAAACAAGTTTGTTTACATTTACAGGAGAGAATGCTGCCCTCTTCTTACTTACAATGTCACCTGAAAGTGAACAGGTATTCACATGGCACTTTTGTAGCCAGCATTGCAAGGTATTTATATGCCAGATATGCTAAACATGCATATGCCCCTTTATGCTTTGGCCATCATTCCAGAGGACATTCTTTCATACTGATGATGCTTGTTAATAAATAATTACTTAGTGACTGAACTCCTTGGGGGAGAATTGTATGTCTCCTGCTCTGTTTTACCCATATATTTCATGT